ATAATACACATGGAAAAGAAGACAGGGTGGGGAGACTCTTTGTTGGATCCTTGAAGCATCTCCCAGGATGGACAGGCAGACAGATCACACTCTTTCTTATTCATCAGCCAAAGAAGCCTCCAGACCTTTGAGCTGCCCTGCAGTGGGTAATAGCCATTCCCAGCTGGTGTGAACTTGGTAGGGTCCCTTGGAGACTGTTGATGGTAACAGGACCCCATAGACAGAGAACCACGAAGGTCTGCTGGAGAGCTAGTCTCCCTTGCTACAGGACTTCTCAGAGCCTTCAGCTTGCTCAGGTGCCTTCAGATCAAAGTCCACTGGGCTCAGCAGTGCTGTTTTCACAGTGCATCCCGGAGTGCTGGAGTTCCTGGGAACTGCTCCTCCAGGATCATTCCATTCCATTGGTGTGATTACAAGGAGTCCTGCATGCCGCATGGGTATTTGCCTTGTGGGGGTATCCACTGTAATAAGGGGATTGGGAGCAGGAACATTTATCAAATACAGAGTCCTGGCACTTTGCTGGGTACTTTTGATGGTAAAGAGAGATAATTGAAATTTACTCTAAAGTTCGGAAACCTCATTTGTGTACACAAGTCTAGTGCCAACTTACCTATTAGTGCACTTGAAAAATACAGAATTTCATTCAGTACTAATAAGGTAGGTATAATTATATGTTTTTCACACATGTGGAATTAATGACACGAACTATAAAATAAGTAATCTGGAAAATTAGTCTTTAGGAGCTCTGCCTCATAGTCAATACAAAAACATGAATGCGTTTGAATATTTTTCTCCCAGAAGGGGGACAAGTGATATGTAAGAAACACAGAAATGAAGACAAATGTGCCCACTAGAACTTTTTACCTGATAAATTGCTCGATGGTGTTATTTCCTAATTGCATCAAATAAAAACTTGGGCAATTTAGTCCAGCAAGCATAGCCAAGTTATTAAATGTAATTTTTCCATGCCACTGAATACATCTGAGGAGCATGAAGTGAGTACCCATGAGCGTGAGAAGGCATCCTCACCCTAAATAGTTACTGACACCCAGCTTTAGGTGTGCAGAGGCAGAGTCCAGGGGTAGAGTGGTGGTGGCCGTGGTGCCTGCATCTCGGAGAGTTTCTTTCTTATTTAAATGTACTTTATCTTATTATCTTAAGGGAATTATTTTCTTTATGTGTCTCTGTGTGGGTGAGTTCAAGCTCTTGTGGGTGGGTGGTCTCAGAGAGGAGATGAGGGTGTCGGAACCCCTGGAATTTCAGGCAGTTGGGAGCCCCAGCAATGTTGGGGCTGGGAACTGAACTTGGGTCCTCTGAAAGATCAAAAAGTGCAGTTAATCACCGAGCCATCTCCTCAGTCCTATATATTTACCTTTTGGATTCTGCAGAGTAACTTTAACACTACCCCCCACTCCCGCCCCGTCTCCTTTTCTCCCGTCTCTGTACCATTTCAGTATTCCCTTTCCCACTGCCATTGCACACAAGGACTAATTTCTGTTGTGAATGGGAGTATGGAAATGTGGCTCTCTTCTCTGAGAGACTGAAGTATGGATCGGACATGTGACATGGCTGGACAGAGGCCCCCAGTGCTCTGGGTGGGTCTGGTTCAGGCTGGCTGGACGCAGGTCCCCAGTGTCCTGTAGTCTCCAGGCTTTGCCTCCACTTTTGTTCTTGAGGTGGTAGAACTGCCAAGCTTCTCTCCAGGTAACCTCTAAATCAAGCTTAAGTATCTCTCTAGGGCTGGAGAGATGGCTCCGTGGTTAAGGGTGCCGACTGCTCTTGTAGAGTACTGGAGTTCAATTCCAAGCACCCACAAGGCAGCTCACAACTGTCTGTAACTCCAATTCCAGGGGATCTGACGCCCTCACACAGACATACACGCCGACAAAGCACCAATGCACATAAAATAAAAATAAATAACCAAATTATTTTAAATAAAGAATCTGTCTAGTAGGACTGGTCTGGGTCACATATCCATCCTGAGCCAATGGAGGAACAGTCCGGCAGTGACTGGCTGAGGCCCTGAAGCCATCTTCTGAACCCCCAACTCAGAGATCCTGGACGGAAGTGGGCAGAGATGGGTGCCAGGTGGAAGGTGAGTTTGGGAGGTGGTTCTAATGAGCAGGCCATGGTACATCTGGACACCTCCATGATGCACTGGGAAGTAAACCCTGCTGTAAGTGAACCCTGCACAGAACAAGGATGCACGAAGAGATACAGGACGGTGTGGGGCGTGTTAGTGCAAGGATTAAAACTCATGCTGGGAAGGTATGGCTGGGTACAGGAATAGCAGCCAACCGGCCTGTGGAATCCTTTGGAGATTTCAATCCAACAGCAATGGGAGGAGGTAGGGCTAAGATGGGATCATGAAAGGCCTTCCATGCTATCTAAGAAGGCTTCCTTCACAGGACTCTGTAAGGCTGCTGACAGCCATGAAGAACTGTGTTTTCTCCCAGACCCACCAGGGGCCCTCTTTAGTCTCAGGGTTTCGAAGTTAAGCATGCTCCATTCAATCAAAAATTTAAAGGCCTTCCCTAAACTTATTAAATAGCCATGGTAATGTGACTGTATATAAAAAGCAGTTACATGGTCCGTTGAGTTTGTCCAGTGGAAACACTGAGCCTACCTGATGGAAGCTGGTTTGGGGAGGGTGTCTGGACAGGGCTGCTCCGTGCCCTCTCTATGCACAGCAACCCTGAGAAGCTCTGAGTGGGGATGCTAGGCAAACTATTTTGATGGCTTCTGAGAGAGAGAGAGAGAGAGAGAGAGAGAGAGAGAGAGAGAGAGAGAGAGTGAGAGAGAGAGAGAGAGAGAGAGGTGAGGTATAGGACTGACTACAGCTGCGAGGGTAAACGGCCACACAGCTCTGAGCATGAGCTCAGGTCTGATTAAACCCCTTGAGATTAAGACAGCATAAAGGAGAAAGTGCTTCCTACAGCCGTCCTTCTGGGAGTCCCAGGCTCGTCACATGCCCTGGATGTGTCTGCTGCCACAGAGTGTCCGCCATTCCTTCTCATGATTGCGAACCTGACCGCCACTGCAAAACCTGCCGCTGACCCACACTCAGAGGCTGGACCAGACCCCATGCCAATGGTATATATAAAGGTAGAAATTCAAAGGACAACTTCTACTCAGCTCCATGTCCATTTCGTGCCGTCACAAAACAGAAAGCGGCTGCTGAGAGGGCTCCGTGGGTAAAGGTACTTGCTGCAAAGCCTGAAGACCTGAGTTTGACCCTGAAACCCACAGAGTGGCAGGGAGGGCACAACTGCTGAAAGCTGTTCCCTGACCTCCACTCGTGTGCCGTGGCATGCGCAACTTCCAAGAAGGGTAACAAACTACAGTTACTTGGAAGTTACTTTAAAACTGGAGAGGTGGGTCATTGGAAGTTGAAGACCATCAGTATATGTAATCAGACAGACAGATAGACAGACAGAGATGATAGATGATAGATAATCGGTGGACCCAATGGCGTGAGTTCTAGTTGGAACCCTGACAGGCACAAGGGCAGTGGGTGCTGCTGTGGAAGCTGGAGGGTTGGAGGAACAGGGTCCAGGCCATGGGCGGGGAGGGGACATCCCATCCCCTCTCCCTCTATTCTGTTCAGTCAGTAGTCAGTAGCCTGAGGCGACCCACACACCTTAAGTGATCCTCCTTACTCTATGCATTCAAGCTTCCCCACCTGAGATCTGCTTGGGATTCCAATGTTATTCTCATTATTCGGATGCACCCAGGATAATGCTCAGCCAAGCACCCGAGGCAACCCAGGCAAGTTGGCACATGGAGTTAACCCCTAGTGGGTGGAGCCGCAGGTATGGAGCCTGCCAGGTGGAGGAGAGAACAGAGGTAGGGGCTCTGAGTGGGCACTTGCTTCTGTGCTGGGGGCCAAAAATGAGGTCAGTGGGACTGTGGCTAAGGTGGTAGGAGATGGGGTAGGTCATGGGGAGCTAAAAGTCAGGGGAGTATTCAAAGGGGATTTGACCCCTGGCCCTTCTGTACCTGCTTGCCCTATAGAAACCATTGTCACTACTTGGCATGAGGCCATTCTTTTATCTGGATGTCAGCCTTCACCACAAGATTAAAAGCCACAGAGGAATTAGGCTAAGAAGTCAACCATACCTCAGCACCTCCTAGGAGATACAATAAGAACTGGTCTTTCTTTTTCTTCTTTTTTCTCTTCCATTAATTTATTCTCTCTCTCTTCTCTCCCTCTCTCCCTCTCCCTCTCCCTCCCCCCTCTCTCCCTACATGTGTGCATATGTATGCATGTGTACATACGTTTGCCATAGTGCATTTATAGAGGTCAGAAGACAATTTGTGGGAGTCAGTTCTCTCCTTCCATCTGAAGATTGAACTCAGGTCCTTAGACTTGACAGCAAGCACGCTTACCACTGAGCCACCTATCTGGGTGTGAGGCATGAGACAAACCTTTCTCTTGATGGGAAGTGTAAATCTGAATGGGAAAAAAAAGCATACATTTTCCTCCCTTAAGGTTTTATAATTCAACCCAATCGTTAGCCAACTAAATTCAACAAACATCTGTTGCTTACCTTCATTATGCGAGGCATTGTGTTGGGTAGGGGCTTCAGACATGAAAAGTAAAAATAGTCACAGTAAACAAACTTTGCTGTGCCGGGTGCTATGCAGAGTGTGGGGTATTTTGCATGCTTGGCGCTCCCACTGGAATTTTGCAGCCACCCTCTCTGAGGTAGATTAGCTATCACCACGATGGACACTTGTTGGATGATGAAGTATCAGAAGGGCAGAGGTCAAGGCAGGAGGTGACCCAGTGTCTCCCCGAATGGAGTCCCCGATTCAAACTTGGATGTTCCTGCAGTGGGGTGGGTGGAGGTGCAGGATGAAAGGGGACTCTATGAATTATTGTTCCCATCGCTGTGGCCAAATACCCGAAAAGAAGCAACTCCAGGGAGGAAGGCTTTATTTGAGCTCACACTCTGAGGATGCAGTCCATCTCTGCGGGGAAGACACAGTGATGGGCGCAGCTCTCAGCTGTGGTGGCAGGAGCGTGGGGCTGCTTGCTCACATCTGAGTGGGTCAGCAAGTGGGGCTGGGATTAAAAACCTCCAAGTTTGGCCCCTCCCCAGAGACCCGCTTTCTTATGTAGATGCCATCTTCCAAAGGTTCTTCCATCTTCGAAGCAGCATCGAATGTCCATACATGAGCCTGTGGGAGAAAAACTACATCTCAACCGTGGCAGTGATGTTTGCTAACTCAGGAGGGTTGGTCTGTTGGGATGGTTCAGAGGGATCTGGCTTTTCACATGTTGACACTTCTAGAAAGCCTGGGATCCACCTTCTTGATTGAGAATGATGGGGAACGGTGGGTTCTGGAAGCGGGAGAATAGTGGGTTCCCGTGGATTCTTTCACACTGTTCCCCATCCCCATGACTGGTCCACCTCTACTCCCCCTGCTAAGTGTGTGGAATAACATCTAAGGCCTACAGCAGAGACCTCCCTGTTTGGTTATAGCCCCCTACCTGATATTTCTTCCAGTGTAATTGAAAATGCCTTGATTTCCTTTTCTACTCTGTTACTATAAAACTTCATGAATTGTTGCTTGGTTGGGACATGGTATTTGAAGCAACTCGAATCTGTGTTTCTGGGCCCTGGCTACTCATATTTAGCTCCAGAACAAACAGTCTCTCATTCCCTTTGCACTGAGCTGTGGTTGTCCATCAACAAGAGGGGACCCCGTGGGAAAAGAGAGGCCGTGGTCAGGGTGCTGCACCGCCACAGAGCACAGAGCATCACTCAAAAACCTTCCCTAAATGAATCGAGGTCTCTGGACCATGTATATTTTCCATAAGATTCCCAGGTGCACAGTGGGTAACGGTCACCTGCGGTAGAGTGAGTGACTGAACAGGAATGGGTTGTGTCACTGTGGAAGCTTCTCTGCCCTGGAGTCCTTCCTCCTTCTCCTCCTACACCAACAACAGGTACAGAGATGACATCTCAAGCCAAATCTCTCCACCTTCCCTTCACCCAAAGCCCTGCCCTGGGTTCCAATAGCCTGAAGGAGTCTTATTCAAACCTCTGGCTAAGCCTTCCATTCCCTGTCAGGGTGATGAGCAGTGGGGGCTGGGATGGTGGAGGGGCAGAGGCTGTGGTCTCCTTTTGGGAAGCAGGAGAGACGAATGTCCTGGAAGTAAATTTCTTGGTGGCATCTCTTTCACAAATCGTCTAGTTGAGTTATTCGAGTTAAACGCAGCTCCCAGCATGAGGAGGAATCTGTTTTGTAAGACTTTGTCACAAGTGGTAAAACTTATTTTTCTAATTACACTTTACCTCTGATGTATAAGATGTGATTCATATATAATCACTGTTTCAACGTTTTATTCCTTACCCGGGTGAAAAAGTAATGGGAATAAAATATCAATATCTTCCTGACAATTGACAGTTTGTGCTGACATGTCATTGAAGTGAAGAACAAGATATCAATTAAAAGAGGGCGATATAGCATTTTCCTCTCATTTTGTGTTGAGAGGGAGTATCAGGGATGTTTAAACTCTTTCTTCTCTTTTCAAATTAGGAAAAAAAAACCAGTTTAATATGGGTTTATGTCAAGATGAACATAAGGGCAAAGAGACTCAACTTTAAAAATACTTTTGTTTATGATATGTTATCTAAAACATTGTCGCCTCTCATGTTAAAGATTCATAAATTGGGATTAAGGGATGATTTAGTGGCTCAGAGTGAGTTCTGTTCCCAGCACCAGTCTTGGGAAGCTCACAGTTGCTTGTAACTTCAGCTCCAGGGGATCTGACACCCTCTGGCTTCCACAGGCACCTGCACACCCCCTCCATATGCATAATTTTAAAATAATAAAAATCTTTTTTAAATCAAAGCAGATTCATATTTTGATGGGCCTTCAAAAATAAATTTAGTTTGTAAGTGATAATGTAAACTGCAACATTTTAGAATATTGGCCCTTTTGTATAAAGGGCTCTGAAAGGTTTAAACAAGTGGTACCCAAGGATGCTGTGTAGGTTAGAGGAAAAGAGTGGTACCCAAGGATGCCATGTGGGTTAGAGGAAAAGAGTGGTACCCAAGGATGCCATGTGGGTTAGAGGAAAAGAGTGGTACCCAAGGATGTCGTGTGGATTAGAGGAAAAGAGTTTGGGGCTTGGAAACATCATCATATTTGGAGGTCATTTTCTCAAGGAATTTTCTGAGCCAATATTTCTCCCATTTGCTTTAGCTATGGTGTTTAAAATCATGTTAGTCTTAATTTCTTGGATCAAGTAGTGCAAAATGAGAGCTGCAATGTGTATCAGGAGCCGACAGGAACTTTTTTATGTTGGAATTCATTTTGCTTAAATGTTAATTTTACTTATATATTTTCCTTGGTGTCTAAAGCTAATTTTGGCTACAGTGGGAATTTAATGTACATTTTACAAACCAATGAAGGAATGAATGAGCAACAGGATAAGTGAAAAACGGATGGGTTGATTGGTGAATGGGTGGACAAATGTGTGGGTATATGGATAGATGGGTAGGAGGATGGTTGGGTAGATGGATGAATGGATGGGTATATGGTTGAATGAGTGAATAGATAGATGGCTGGATGAGAAATGGGTAGCTGTCTGGCTGAATAAGTGGATGGATGGGTGCATGGATGATGGGTGGATGTCGAAGGGGGATGAATGGAGACTAAAGAGGTGACTCAATGATGTATTAAAGGTGATGCCCCAAGTCCAAGGGTAGGACAAATAGTTTTGAATAAAGACTGTTTGAATCTAGGGAGTGGTGGTAACACATGACTCTGACCAAGTGTTACATACTGAGAACGACCTTGGGAAGATTTCCTGATCCATTTGTGTCTTCATTGGACACCTTCATACATGTGCACACACAGGTGAACATACAGCCATGCCCAAATGAATATGTTCCCCTCCCTTGACATACTTGAACTCCACACTGTCACTGATAGTAAGAAATTATCTGTCGTCTTTGATATTGGAAGCTTCCCTACAGATCTTGAATCAGGACTCTCTAAGTTTCAGATCTCCTCAAAGACACTCAAACAGTTTGAAGAGAATAGACATAAAATTTACCAGTAGTAGAAACTCTCCCAGGTTGACAATCAGACAGACAGATAGACAGACAGACAGACAGACAGACAGACACACACACACACACACACACACACACACACACACACACACACACATATATGCATACAAATGCACAAATGCATATGCATATTTAGACACACATACATGGAGCTAATCATGGCAGGGTTGCTTACGGGAGCACAGAATCATGAACCGCCTGCATGCCCAGCAGCAAGGGACATTTCAAATTAATTGCTGAATATCTGTATCATCAAATATCATACTGTCATCAAACATTAAGTTTTTGGAGGATAATAATAGTTGTAATAATGATGAGAGCTAATGTTCCAACATTTATTGAGCACCTGCTGTGTGCCAGGCACGATCCTAAATGCCTTGCTCAAAATAACTCCTTCAATTTAGGATTTTTAAGGATATTTAAGGATATGACAAACTGCTAGCGCTCTATTGCTCGGTGGGGAAAAACACCAGACAACGGATCATTTTTACACACCATGTATGCTTGTTGTTATCTCTTTATAGTATATATTAATGTATAGAAAACAATCCACTGCACTCTACCATGGGAATCATATCTATGTAGCTATATTGCAGGACATTTTGGGTTTTTTTTTTTAATCCTCATTTTCTTTGATAGTTCACGAATTATCTCTCACAATATAAAATCCATCATTTTTATGCTAACTAGAAAGCAACTAACTATTGAAATGGTAGTAGGAGAGCACTTGGTGTGTTCTAAGAGACACCCTGGAAACCAAGGTGGGAAACATGGTGAATGCAGGCTTTGGAACTAAAGTACAGAGTCCACAGGGTCACGTGGAGGAGAGGGAGCACCAGCGAGCCACTGAGCGTCTGTGAGAGAGGCAGTGACCACATGGAAAATGGAGGGGGGAGGAGCCTGGCAAAGGGACAGAAGTCAGTGGTGGAGGACAGATTAGAGGAGTCCCGCTAAGCAGGTGGCACTGAGCGGGTGAACCTGTGGGACCTGGCTGTGAGATGGAGGAGGGACCTAGACAAACAGGCAGGATGGTGCAGTGCATGGGGCAAATTAGGGAAGCCCAACTTGGCGTGTGCAGCTGGTGCCCCTTTCTCTCCTCTTCTAGGCTTTATGGACTGTTTGCTCTTCCTTCACAAAGCACACAGCCAAAGCCAGGTGTACTGGCGCAGGCTCATCATCCCAGCACTCAGGAGGTGGAAGCAGGAGGGTTAGGAGTTCAAGATCATCCTGAGCTACTCAATGGGCTTGAACAGCCTGAGAAACCTGAAGCCCGGTCTCAACAGACAGAAAACTCACTAGCCTTCTACAACTAAGGCTTTTCTTCTGTGTAGCCAGCCAATGGTGGATGGAAAACATTACATACAGATTGAACACATGTTGACAATTTTCTCTTATCATGATTCCATTACACACACACACACACACACACACACACACACACACACACACACACACACACACACACACACACACACTGGGCTGACAAAGGGGATCAGTGGGCAATGGTACTTACTGTCAAGCCTGTTGACCTGACTTTGATCCCTGGTGCTCACACGGGGAAAGAACTGGACAGACCCCCAGCAGCTGTCCTCTGCCCTCCACGGGCTTACCATGGCGCACGAACACACTAAGCAAAGTATAACAACAACAATTGAAAATCCAGTGTTACAGCCTTTTGTAACTGGTCTATTGCACTGGACACCCAGTTAGCAGAAAAGGAAACAAGCGTGGGGGAGAGTATGCTTTTAGGTCTAAGGCCCGATGCTATACAGATGGCTTTGATGAGGGACCTGGGCCTGGGATTCTGGTTTCTTCCAGTTCCTCTGAGTACAGACTCCATAGGGTCCAAATTCAGGTTCAGCTTTTTGTTTTTCTTTGAATCTACTTTTCCCCTTCCCTTCTCCTCTGTTTGTTCTCTCTCTCTCTCTCTCTCTCTCTCTCTCTCTCTCTCTCTCTCTCTCTCTCTCTCTCTTTCAAACAAGGCCATGCTGCATAGCCCAGGCTGGCCCAAAATTTACTATGTATCCCAGGCTTACCCTGTCTCTGCCTCTCCACTGCTTGGATTTCAGGGATGCGCCTCCACGGATAACACAGTTTCTCTTTTCTGTGGATGCCTCCTGAGGCTTCTCCAAAGCCCTCCAACCAAGTTTCCAGTCTTGAGATCTCTAATGAGTACTCAGTCAATATGGGCAGTTGAATATACTCTCAGCCCTGTGATATAGAATGCATATGATACCAACCATATTCATCCCAAATGATAGATTATAGCATACTTCATCAGGATGTTCTGCTTTCTTCTGAAATGAACATTCTTTTGCAAACAAAGAAGCCGATTGGACTCAATTATAAAAATGGGTACAGTGCTTCAGCTTAGGACCTGGAGGAGGCCCTGGAACTCCCTCCTGCTCCAAGGAAAGCCATCCTGCTCTGTCACCAACGCCCAGCCCAGGTGAGATGCTCCATCATGCTGGGACTTGTTTTTGTGACTTTTGAAGAGGACAGTTGTGACTTATTCTTTAATCATGTTGAGGACTGACTTGATTTCCTGGCTAGTGTGGCTGTGGCCATGTTGCTTATGGTGACCACTGTCGTTTTCCTAGGCAAAGCAATTCCAGTTTGCCAATGGAGCCATGTCTGACACCAATTCAGACAAATTTCTCCATGCCAGATTGATGATACCATATCTCATACACATCATTCATTTCTGTCTTGTCCACTCCTAACCGATTTTAAATGAATGCTTGTGGTGTCCTTACCAAGACCACAGTAAGAAGGGCTTAGTGATTGCAGTCCTGATGGGCACTGCATCACACACTGATACCAGCCACCTTCCCCGGTGCCAGCGACCTCCCAATGTGAGCACACACGCCTCCCCGGAATATCAGTGCTGGGAGGATTCAATAAAGGCAAGCTTTTTCAGCACCTGGCACCATGCCCCGACACAAAGAAAGTGCTCACTAAATGTTTATTGAATTTTAAAATAATTATGATTGATGGCCACTACATTATCATTTTGAATATTTATCCCTAAAAGCCCTAAACTCCAGCAAGTGCGTCTTGGCGCGGCAGATCCAGATAATTTATCCTCTCTATTAGCGCTCCTAGCTGGGAGCAGAGACTGGCAGTCGAGCTGCCTCCCAGCCTCTCCGGATGGGACTCAGAGCCCCCGGCTTTTCCCGTATAACTGTGAATAAATCTGAACAAGCTTCTTGGAGAAGGAGAGATCAACCTGAGGTCCCAAGTCCACTGTGGCCCGTAGGCTTTCTGCCCCTGAGATCCTGAGTCTGTCAGTCTCCCCCACTCCTTGTTTAACAAAACCACCAACAAAGGAGATTATTGTCCATTTCGAAGGGATGCTATGAAAATTACCAAGAGACTAGTCCACAAAATGGCTCTATAAATGATAACACAGTGCCAACTGGAAGTGTGCTTTTATCGGATACATGGACAGAAATATTTTACTTTACGTTGTCGCTGTGGGATTCAGGGTTACAAATATATTTACACCTTTTCCATGTGATTGTTTTTGTGCATGCAGTTTGGCTGTAGTATATTAGAGGAAGGGTGTATCAGTAGATCCTGACCGGATACAGTGAATTCTTCTGAATATATTTCAGAGAACAGCCGTCCATCTCAGGCACCCTGCTCCACACTCGTTACATGTAATAGAGACCCTTAAGGACTGCATTGTTTGATCTCATAAACAAAAAACATTTAAATTAATTAATCTGCTTATGGATTGGTTCTAGTTGCCGCACTTTCTGTTTTTATTACGGTAAGGGGTGCGCTGGGGGCTTCTGGATGACTTCCCCACCTCTGCTAGGAATCATGAGGTCTGTCCTAGCCCTGTCATTCACAGACATCCCCGTATGGCATCCCAACAGTACTCTTTCCATGATGCTGTTTATGAGCAAAGCCTCCCCCCATAGACACTCCTGTAATTCTATTAATATGGTCCCCATCACCATATGGCGGTGTGATGCCAATTACATTGCTACAACCAGCAGACTTCTCAGAAAGGAGGCCATCTTCCCAGCCACGACACACCCTCATTACAACGATTCCCCCTCCCCAAGAATGGGCTGTCAGTGCTCTCCACCTGGAGATTCGTTTACTCCCAATTATTTAATCAGGATATTCTCGGTGGTACTGAAAAGGTGAAGTGCTACAAGAGGTTGGGATATTTTTCTTTTCATTGCCCCCCCCCCCCACCATGTACAATATACGATATATGCAGTCTTGGCCTGTGAACTGAGGGATGCAAGGCTTGGGTGGTGTTTTATTTGTTAATGAGGGTTAGGGTGATGTGTGCACACTCAGCCGCTACCCAGACAAAACAGAAAAAGCCATTTAAAGCACCTCATACCATGGATCCTTCTGTCTGAGTTCCCGAATGCAAGGACTTTGTGTCAGTTCTTAAACTTCTGACAGTGGCGGAAAAACATGTAACAAGGGGCTGCATCCCTCCCTAGGACTCGGAGTAAAATCCACCCTACCCAGTAAGAATTACCTCTGCTCCGCATGTCAAAATACAACTGTAATTGTGTAGTACAATGTTTCATAAATCTGAAAATGTTTAAAAGACCCATTGTATTTCCAAAGCTTCTGAGGACTCATTAGCACCCCCCCCCCGCCCCCAACAACCCTGTGCTAAGCCTGCCTTTTTTTTCCCCTTTCCTGATTTCCATATTTTCCAATAATTATTAAGTGTTCTTCTCTCCCAGGCTGGCATCACCGAGTCAAGCCGTCACTGGCGATAGTGACAGTGGCTGTAAGTCTTGTGAATTAGTACGTTTAAAAATCTCGTGCTTAGATATGTTACCGAGCTCCTGAAGTTAGCAGATGGCCTCAAGTAAGGCTCGTTTTAATTTTTCAACTACATAAGTATAATAACCCCCCTAATGTATGCACACAACAATAAAGGATGCTTGCTGAGTGACGCTCTCCTCAGCCTCATGCGTACCTGTGCGAATGAGCTCCTTAGTGCAGAGATAGCCTGGCTTGGACATCACACTTCTGTGATCAAAAGGAGATGAAAATGGCAAAGTCAAAATAATAATAATAATAATAACAATGAGAAGCCACAGTAGGAAAAACATCTCCTTGGTCAGAATGGAAAAGTTTGTGAAAGCCATTTAATAGTCCCTGAATATCAAAACATTTTAACTTTTGCGAAGTTTCAGCATTAAACAATTAGGCTGAAACACAATTAGACAGTGCATTGTAGAGGCTGGTCACTTTTTGTATGTCATGTGGCTTTAAAAACAAGTCAGATAAATGATGATGCCATTAAAACTGAACTAATTAAAGAAAGCTTCTTTTAAGAACTCATTAACTGCAACCTCATTTGCATAATGATGCATATTAATTAAGTTTTAATGAATCTGAATTTGCACCAAGCCTATTCATGTTGGCTTTGAAACAAATTGAACAAATTAGTTAAAAGCTTTTTGGAATCTACTTTTCACACCAAACAGGGTATGAATGCAATCATCTGCACAAAAAAAAAAGAAAGAAATATTTTTTCCTTTAATTTAATTCAGAGGTATGCAAGGCCCATCTATTAATTATTTTTAAATGCAATACATTTCACCTTTTCTTGGAAAAAATCAACAAAATCAGTTATTCTTGAATGAGAAATATTATAAATGTGGGTTGTCGGGGAGAAATGATTACGACCAATTTATTGGCAGTGAGTTGGAGATATTTGACTTTAGGGGACATTTAGTTTATTTAATAGTGGGATTAAGAATCGGGGAGGTGATATCGGGGCCTTCAGAGCGCCTCCGTGGATCAGCTTAAAGGAAGCGGCTACCTACCAGTGGCTCCCTTCCCCGGGTGACGGTGACAGCATTCCCTCAGTGGTATCACACTCTTTTCTGACTCTGCCCCACTAGAAATCGCCTCAGTAGCACAAGAAAAAAATTAAACATTTACAGAACATGTGTTCTTTTCCTCTGGATTTGTGCAAATCCTAATTTTTTTTTTATATACACAAGAAGTGGAATTCAATTTTAACAAGTTTGCATTGGGCTCATAAGAAAAACAAGAATTACTGCGGAGACACTATTGATTTGCTCATGTTGCGTTGTGTCTTCATCAAGAATGGAGAGATTTATGTAATTACGGCTCCATCTTTTGTTGTCTGGAAGCACTTTTTTTGTAAGTCAGCATATACAAAGGATGGAAAGCGCTTTTATTGTTGAGATTAGAAGATCATCGCTCCCCCCTAGTTAAAGCGTTTCTCCAATAGGTGCTTTGAAGAGGTCGGCAATTAGAATGGTGCCTTATACTGGAAATGCACATTTTTAAAACAAGGTATTTACAGGTATTCTTCTGCAGTTTTTTTTAACCCATTTATCCCGTCTCCCTTTCATGCCTACTGTTTCCAGAGAAGCGGTGCTCACTACTGGTGGTAGCCAGTGTGCCCAGGGAAATCCCCTTCAGCCAAGTGAGAAGGATGCTTTCTAAGACGCAGCCTGACAAAAACAGCAGCCTTCTGGATTATTCTTCCTCACTCCCTTTCCTCTCCTTGGGGTTCACTTGAGTATGGGTCAGCCGTCACTTGGGATTCTTGGGGGAGAAAACTCAAAACCGGGTTCTTAGCTGCCTTCCTTTCTTCCACCCTCGACCGGGAAGTTAGCATCCGGTTTAGCACAGGCAAAACGCTTTTCCGTGTGTGAAGCGAAGTCCAATTGCTTTGTAAAAGACTGCTCGCTCTCGGGCCACTTTTCTGAGTCCCACATTGGCAGAAACCATGGGGGAACTCTTTTACTCAGGAGAATACCAGCCTGAGAGAAACACGGTGAGAGCAATTAAAAAAAAAAAGCCACTCACAGATAATTTTTGGAGGAAGATTCTAAAATGAATAGCCCTGCTTGTCTTTCCCTGCGACCCCGACTCTCACCACACTGACTATCACAGGGACCCGGATGGGACCTCCAGGTTGGGTAGGACAGTCACCGGGGGAATCTGCCCCCATCCCTCATGTGGGAACCGTTTGCCATACATACTTCCAACGAAAAGCAGCTTCTGGGTTCCCCCACTGTAGTTTTTGAGTGTGTCGCCGTCAGAAAGCTGAGGTTAAGGAGTTTTAAATACCCTCTGATGTTTGCAGAGGAGCAGGCTGCTTCTGAATCTCTCTCAGGGATTGGGAATTCTGGGAATCACACCCCCGCCCCCCGCCCCGCGCGCGCACGCCCCGA